CTAAATCTTATTGTCTTTTTTTTTTTTTTAATGCGAAACCTGCCGTTTCACTTAAGCGATTCGGCGGCATGACAACCTAAACAGACCAGCAGAGCACGGCTGCGCGGCATTGAGCCGAATTATTAGACCAAGCTACGCTACACCCGAGTAAGCCGCAAAAACCAAATCAGGCGCACCCTGGAGGCACGGCCCATCTAAATTGAAACAAGCGGGACACAACAAACACTCTAAACGAACATACACGTAAACATAAAGGTGCATGGCGCGAGCGTCGCTAAGGAAAAGTCAAGCGCGGCTAACCGCATCAGCGGGTGCTTCACGGATTTCAAGTTTCCCTCTCCGCGGGAGCGCGAAAGTTCATGTCAGAAAGTAAGAAAAAAGGAAACCGAAGAGACGCCCGAAGGCGTTCCCGTCGCAGAGTCGCTGAGGCCACGAGCAATTCAGCATGGATTAAGTCGTCTGCGCCGGACGCTGGTCGACATTGGAGCGGGGGAAAACATGAGAAGATCACCTCGCGTCGTGATCGTGTTTCAGCTAGGCGTACCCCCCGAGACCGCCACTTAATTGCGTAACCCGTAAGGTAAATCGGGGACTTATACCGGCTTACATTGAAACCGACGTCAGAGATTTTGCTACTAAGTCGATTAAGGGACATGATTAGTTATTTTGTTAAAGCACGCCAATAGTATAGGCAGCTTACTTGAAGATGGCGGCGAGTTATGTTCCACTACTTTAGGGAGAATTAAGGATACGAGTACAAGTTCGTAGCAAAAGGATGGACGGATCTATAACTAGGTAACTAGAGATTAAGACTCGACGCACGCACAGATAAAGATAAAAGCTATCAATTATTTCAATTTCAAAAGCGCTATCTTTACACATTGTGTTTAAAGGTGGTGTATCAATGGTGATTGCGGACAAGTGATTAGACTACCCAATTCAATGCGAATTGATATATCTAGTAGTATTTTAAATACCACCTAGTCATTTAAGGATCAGCCTTGATTCCTAACACAACGGTTTAACGCCATTGGTGGGACCGAAAAATGTTGAACATGCAGGGGTAAGCCTCACCTAATAGTTTTTCATGAAATTAAAATTGTGTTTGTGTACCCCACCTCCTTATAGAACCTCGCGAAAATTCGCGGTATTTATCAATGAATAATTATACGAATAGATCAGGGCAATGCACCGCTGCCTTTTTGTTTCCTCGCTTTCAAAGCCTCAATTGCGTTGAAATTAAAACAAAATAATGTTCTGTCTATGTTCATACAGCCTAGAACTTGAACTGCCTCAACGGGCGACGAGTCTCCCAGCTGTAGATGAGAAATTTTGCCAGTGGAGTACAACGGCTAGCCTGGGGTCTTTAACGTGCACCACGCAGTAGTGATACACGACCGCACGCCGGTACGATGCTCATCAACATCGAAACGGGCAGGGGTGGGGATTGAACCGAGAGTCCCTGGGTTCTGCGGCGCGAGCTTTCGCTCCACAAGTTCCGAGCTACGGCGTGCTAACGCACTCGGCCACCGCTCCCCACTTCAAAGCCTGATAGGAAGAATCCAAATTATAAAAGCTTAATGCCCCGGCCTCCGAATCATGGATGAGGAAGATGTGACTCCAACGCAACACCAATATAGGATCTCATTCACACGTTGGGCCTCCGCAAGACGATTACAATTCTTACTCGTTTCCTTCTTCTTGCATTCGGCTAAAGTTGGCACGTGTCAGAGCGCGGCACTAATTGGGAGTGGGCGGCAACCTTGCTCCGACGAGAAAGGCAGCCAAGGCCATCACATCGCATGCCGCTATATCCCGGGTACACAGACAATGAAACCTGCTCTGCGAGTTTTAGGGCAGAAAAATTAAAAAAAAAAAAAATGAAAATAATGAAAATAAATCGCCGGCACCGGAGCCTCGGCGAACGGCGCCTGAATATTGGTCTTTGTATAGAGCTGACCCATAGTAGAAAAAAGGAAGATATATGATTTGGTTCTGCACAGCCGTGGTGCTGGTTAGCTTCGCCTCAAGGCACTTCTTGGCAAGACCGTTACCATGCACACTCTCCAAGACGCAACCCGATTTAACAGCGATCCTGTGATCAGACGTGCTCCGCAATGTCATAAGTCGTCAGCAAACTACTAATAAAAAAATGTAAAAAACAAATTATTATTTTTTTGCTTGTAACATGCGTTTTGACGAAGCTCGTCGCCCGGTATAAGGTGTCATACCACTGATGTTCCGGTGTCTTAAACGTAACGTAAGAAAATGGTGCTGTGCGATCCAGCCTTTAGGCGCGGATGCTCATCACTTCACTGCAGTCACTGGCAGGATTACGAGGGCCGGGGGTCCTTCAGTCCCCCACAAAAATATCTATCCATTTTCTACAGACTTTCTATACAGTATATAGTGTATCGGCGACGTGAGCGATCGAAAGCGTCGCTGTGGTCGGCCTGCCACGATTGGCCGAATGCTGACTATGACGTCAGCAAAGGATTTCTTATCGACGGAGATAAGAGGAATAGAACAGCTTTAATTTTGACGGTGTTGGCAGTGTAGCTTTGAGAGTACAATAATTTCAAGCTTTCCACCATGCTAATTACAAACAACTTCGAACTTGTTGATTGCAAGGTAATGACGTCACCTCAGGGAACCATAGGGGTGCGCCACCAAAACATCTCGCCGCTAATACGGCGAGCAAGTGTCCTAAAATCCGTCTTTGGCGCTTCGAAACGCACAGAGGGGCACCCCAATGTAACATCGAGAACGTGTAGATAACGTGCGATCACGAGTCAGCCGGGCCCGCGCTCCCATTGGTCAAGGGCGGGGGTAAAAAAAACGCACGTGGGCGCATTTAGGGGGTAAACAAACGCACGAGGTGCGCAAGAGCGGGTCAACTTGCACGCCGCATAAAAGCTACACACATATATATATTTTTTTAAATATGTGTCCAGTTTTTTTTTTTTTTTTTTTTTTTACGGTCTATAGCTTTTTGGTTTTTTTTTTTCTGATTGCTTTTTATAGGACTTAGTGTACGAAATTGAACAGCGATTGTGTGAAAAAAAATAAATAAAAAATTTACCAACTTTTCTATCTCTTTCTATGGCAACTGGCCGGTTTTCCGCCAAAAAAGCAACAACAAAAACTTGTGAACAGTTATTTTAGGTTTACCATTATACATCCAGAGAAATATAAATACGCCATTTGCCACGTACATATATGCACACATCGCAAATTCACTCCCCATAGAGGATTCAGAACACAGTTTTTTTGCTTTAATCGTCGTTACATGGTATAGTTATAGGCAGAAAGATGCATTCATTAAGACGTTCATTCCATCGTACAGACACAGACGAACACAAAGTGAATCTTATTTACAAACTTTACAAAACACACATCGCATTTTCACTCGGCATCTTGTACACGTGACCTTCTGAGAGGGGAAAATATACCTAAAAAAAACACTCGTTATTCGGAAAAGTTGGCTGCTCCACCGCTATATATACCCTACAGCCGACAGGTATAATCATTTGAATGAAGGCCACACCAGATGTTACAAGGATTACAAGTATGTTGCATTTCCTTTCGCCACTAATTCGCACAAAATGCGGTGTCTAAGGGTTGGTGAACCTAACCTTAAAACATTGCAAGAGGCGATAATTATTTGACACGGTCGGAAAAGCAGATATTCGCAAGAAACTCCAACTGGGTGAGATGTCGCTCCTCCGCACTGCATCTTATTATTCTATATATTATAGTCTATAGAGATTCTTAAAACAATTGATGACAGAAGGTCTATTGAGACGTCGTGATAGAAATTCTAAAGCATTTCTATCGTTTGCCTTCTTTAGACATCGCTTGAAACAAAGTCTATAGAAAATGTACTGAAAACAATTGTCGCTACGACGTGACTGGATAGGAAGTGGGAAAAGTCGTTTAAAATGTGGCTAGGATTTCTACGCGACAAGAAACTAGAATAGAGAAAGAGACGAGAGCGCGCGGGGGGCGTCAGGACACCGAGGTCTGATTGGAAGACTTAGTGGGTAGACGCAAAGCTAGCGGCCTTTGTCCCTACTCACACCTGGAACGTGTTCGATTGCCAATCGCCGGCGTCCAGCGTTCCGTCTTCGAACGCGTTCAAAGAGCGAGTAGAAACAAAGGCGGCAAGCTTTGCGTCTACCCACTGAGTCTTTAAAATCAGAGCTCGCCGTCCTGACGTCATCGCAACCCCTGCGCAAGAAGCAGGCGAGCTTGCGCTGCGCATGCCTTCGACAACGCTCACGAGCACCAATCGCGCTTGCGCAGTCCAAGTATACGACAAAAAGGTAACGAGCGCGCACTGGCGGCCGGGCACCGGAAAGAGACGCCCTGTCGTTCTCATTCCGTCGTCGACGATATAGCCTCAAAGGCCACTTCGAAGTGGCAGGGAGACGACCGTCGGAAGTGGGACCACGATGTTCGTCAGTGATACCCAGCCCCCAACAACTGCAGCTATACCGTCGAAACGTGCCGGCATCCAACAACGCCGCCACACATAGTCGCCAAAACAGCACGCAGGCCTACAAACACTCGCCGCCGACACTAACGCAAGCCCCGATGCCACGAATCGTCCGTCCCCGGGGAGGGACACCGCGACTCTTTAACGACCGAAGAGTCTCCGAACAACCGCGAGACGTTCCGGCGAAGGCGGACCGAGCCTCACCGGGAGCACGGAGACGAGCGCGAGCGACGGCACACTCAGCGTCGGCGGAACTGGGCCACACGCCACCAGCGAGCGGAGCGCGGGGCGAGCCGACCGACAGAGCTCCCGCCAGAACCAACCCTCCCTCGGAGTCCCGTTAGGCGAAACGTCCCGAACACCCATCGGCGCAGCAGCCAGGCAAGACACAGCCCTCCCTTCTCAATACCCTCTTTCTTCAGCCGTTCCTTCCTCGTCTGGGCTACCCTCTCCCGCACAACCTCCTCGCCTCTATATAAAAACAGGTCCGCTGAATCTAGACCGTTTTCTCTCGAGAGTCGGTCGACGGACACTGCGTCTTGTGAGTCGACGCTGCCGGGGTCGGCTGAATCGTCATTCAGCGCCGTCGAATCGACTCGTGACTGCTCCTCCCTGGTCGCATCGGATCGTCGGGTTTTCAACCACCCGCCGGTGTTGTGTGGAGTGCGCGTGCGTTGTGTGCCACCGTCGTCGCTGTCCTCGTCGCCGTCGGAGGACCCTATAAGTCGACTCGGAAGCTGTCGCCCCCTGCGTGATTCTTCGAGTCGACTCGACGAGCGGAGGGAACTGTGCGCGGTGCGACGACGAGATCAAAGTCGCCCACGATGATCCTTAGGTAGGTGGCACCGCTAGCCTCATCCGCTGCTGGGAGGAGGGCTGGGGAGGGGGTTGTCCTCGTGCGTGTGCGTGTTCTTCCCTATAGCTCGCAACAAGTCCCTGGATTACACGGAATCGATTCCCCTCATGGATGTCACGGTAGGTGCTCTACATTTCGCGCACCAGTCGACTTGCCGACTCTTCCGGTGTTTTCGTCTCCAACTGGACGACCGCGGGCCGTCGGAAAACAAAACGCGACCTGCCATATTCGCCAATTTTTTTCTTCTTTTTTTTTTTGTGTGTGTTTGTTTTTATACCCACTCCTATGCAGCCAAATTTCAGACTGAATAAGACGGGCTTGACAGATCGGCCCGATGTTAGGGAGTGAACGAGCATAGTTTGACATGAAATTGCAAAAAAAAAAAAAAGCCATAAGACACACACATTCACAACGTTCGACAAAGCAAACGAACGCAGTGAACTCATTTTCAATGACGACAAGTTTCAATTTACCCTTCAGTTTTGACGTCGGCGAAGGCGAGAAAATTAAGTGATAAAAGAATCTAAATTTTCCACAGTTAAAATTCGACCACCCCCACACGCCCGAAACTGGGGAAGTAAAAGTCGCAGGACTTACACCTCTAATCGAACAAGTTAAATAGCGGCAAATGTTAAATAAAATTTAGTAAAAAAAAAACCCTTCGAAGAAGCATTATTTAAGTCGTTACTGAAACGTCGTAAAAAAGGAAAACGAAATCAGCTCGTAACATCACTTCTCACATATAAACTAAAGAAACCTGCAACGTCTACTTTCCCGCAAAGCGCTTAGGAAAACCAATCACTGCAATCTGCGGAGGAGCTCGGCCAATCACGCGAGACCGAAAATATCTTTAGGCCTAGAAAGGGAATCGCTCCGTAACCCCACTGACCATGATGAAACATCGCGCGCTTTACTCTGTTTCGCTCTCCAAGTCCGTCTGCGGTAGATCGCCATACCATCCGATATCAACCAATCATCGCTAGGCGTGATACCAACCAATCACGCATTGCGATCGATTCAATCCCTGCGCTATCCTCTTTTTTTCTCTCGCGTGATTGGCTTAGCTATATAGTGATGGCGAACGCAAAATGGCCACGAGTGTCGTGACGGTGCACTTTTGAAGGGGCCTGATTGGCTCCCTCGGATACGCCTGCGGACAGACTTCAAATGAAACGGAGAACGCCTACTCGGAGCGCAAGTTCGTCTGCTTCTTTTGACGTCAAAACGACGCCAAGTTCTGATTGGCTCTGATGGAGGGATAGTGAGTAGACCTCGAGGCAGCTCGCTTTGAAGTCTACCCACTATCTTTCAATCGGAGCCAATCACAGGAAATTACAGCTCGGCGCCGTTCTGACGTCAAGATAAGCAGACGAACTTGCGTTCCGTATACACGCGGTTCGCGAAGAGCAATGGAGTTCGACCACCCGCCGCTCTGGAAGACGAAGTGACCAGTGGCGAGCGGCAAGCGATCGGAGAAGGAGCAAAATGTAAGCGCACGGTGGCAATGACCGTGACCAATCGCTGCGCGACCCACGGTCACTCCGAGAAAAAAAAAGGGAACTTCAAGCAAATCACGCGGCCCACAAAAAGCGGAACCGCGCCGACAGCGGTATACCCTTCAACGATTCACGACAAACCCGCCTCTGATTGCAGGCTACGTCGGGTCGAGGCGGTCAGAAAGCACAAACGACGGCAGACGCACACACACACATACACAACTTTTGCCGGCGTTGACCACGCGGTTCCGGTAGGAGTATAGCGAGTTTGTCGAACCCTTGAAACTTTTTGGTTTTATATTTTAAGAGCTAGAAAAAAAAAAACGGTTGCGATATTACTTTTTATGTATAACTGCTCAAAACATGTTTTACACGGTGAATTTACCCGAGTCCGTGGATTTCTAAAAGGAGATCACAAACAGAGAAAACGTTTCTGTCCACTAAACTTGAGCTGTGTTTGAGACCTTTCTGTGTTCGTGTCGTGTTTTAGAAAACCCCAGTCTCGGGTAGATTCGCGACGTTTGCCTGCACCAGCTTGCCTGCACCGTCGTTTTTTGTTCAAGATTTGTTTTATCCATTCAAGTATTCGTAATGCTGTTTTTTTTTTTTTTTTTTTGTTTTTTTTGCATTTCTGACTACCCTTTGACATACCACGACCATTTTTTCCTGTGCGGATGACACAAGCAATACAAGGGGCCGACTTCCAATAGTCAGCGTGTCAGCTATGACTATGCGAAAGAAAGCGCAGACAAAGCTATGTGCACCCAAAAGCGTAGTGATACGTGAAGTCGAGTTTCAAGCCCTCGCGTTCCCAAGGTTCGGCAGGCTTCCTACCAGGCTGTCTAAGCTAAGAGGCGGATTCTAGCAAGTCTGCCCTGGTTCTAAACACAAATAGACTCGACGTCGCTGCATTTTTTATATCTATGTATTGTTTTACAACGATGAAGAGCCTCTGACTGAATACAACACGAATCTCGTGCTTTTCCGCCTCTTGCAAACTAACCAGTGTAGCACGAGCGATTATGCACCACCGTGGACAATATAAGCGCTAACAGCTGAGCAAGTCTCCCTGCCGCGTACGCTATAGCCTCGAATAAAAGCTTTGACGAAGACTATAGGTATTGACAGCTGAGAAGAAGACGCGGGTCTTTGACCAGTCCCGCGATCACCCGATTATCGCCCCGGGGGCAGCGAAATTTCGGCCTGGGTCTATTAGAACGTCTAAAGACATGCTACTAAGCAATCAGAGTCAAGATAGTTAGCGACCGTCTTGCGTTTCTGTCGCTACTCATTGGGATAGACAAGGGAGCTCCGTCATGCCGAATGTTCCCTTTTATTTATACCACCAGGCGAGCGCATCCGTTATCGATATATGAATTGCAATACGCAATCTTTTCTTTCGCGACGGACTGCAAAGCTGCGCACGAAGAGATTACACGTGCTGAATACATGTCCACGAAGAGATCTTCATCTTCGCGTCTCAGATCGACGATGATTGGCACAAAACGTGCTCTGGCAGCGTCGATGCCACGGAAGAAAAAGGGCGGATATTTACGATCCTATGTGGGTCATGGAGGCACGCAAGGTCCTTTCTTTTTTATACAGGGAGTTCCATTCGGTCGTAAAGAAATGGTAAAAATCCGCGTAAATAAGCCAATAAACGCGGCGCATTAAAACTTTTCACAAAGGTGTATTGAGATGGTGCGCTTGACATGCTCAAGTTGCATGAGTGTGCCGGTTACGGGGAATAAATTGTAAGAGAAGAAAATCCTCTTCTTTCATATGCGCCGGAGAAAAACAGGAGCTGAAACCGTCGTGTTGACGTTGCTATTCGTGTATAACACCATGCGGTACGAAAAAATATATATATATATAAAAAAGCTTCTCAGAGGTGATTGCTCTCAAGCGCATCAAGCAGATCCGAGCGCGTGCGGTACCACGAGTTGTAATAGGGACTTTTAGCGAAGCGTTACCGTGTTCGAGGTGCCGCACTACCGGAGCCTTTGAAGCATGCTTTTAAGCGCACGCCAGTGTGGTACCGTAACCGCTTAAAATCACGCTTCAAAGGCTCCGATATTGCGGTCGCAGAACGCGATAACGGTTTGTTAAAAGTCCCCAATGTTAACCGGACGGTTTGCGTCTGTTTTCCCTCTCCCGCATAGAAATTCAAGTAAGATTTTCTTTCCTTGCATTCTTTTCTCCAGAAACCCATACTCGCGAAGCTTGAGTATGGTAAATGAATTTCATAAAGACACCTTTTTTGAAAATTTTCCTTGCACTGCGTTAATCGGCTTTATCAGACAGCTTTCTTCGTGTTTTTTTTTTTTTTTTTTCCTTTTTTTTTTACGACTCTATTACGGTTTGGAACTCCCTGTAGGGTCGATAAACACACTGAAATACCTGAGGATCAGAATTTATTGAGTTTATTAAACAATACAACCTTCAGAGCGGGACAACCTTCATGACCTAGATCCGCCTCTTTAAGTCAGCAAGATATAGAGACACACCAACGCGCGTCTTCTGATAAAACCAGAAAACTTGCCAGGTATCTTACATCCACGAAAACAATGAATTATGCGCTCATCACATAAATCAATCGAGTTTCTTTTTTTCTTTTTTTGTCTGTGTGTGTCCTGCGCAATTTTGTTTGGATAGGGAATCTTATCATAATTCTCACCGGAAAACTGGCACGACGGATATACAATTAGTCAGTGACAACTTGAAAACGCACGATCATGATAGGCCACCTATCATGATCAGGCTTCTTACTTCGTGATTGGCTCTGCGGCTTTCGTATCGGTTAATACCGCAATGTCTTTGGTTGCGAAGCGATATAAAATGCTCGTTTCTTAAGCTATAAGAGGCAGTCATACTCACAGAAACTCCGCGTTATGTAATGTGCTTTCGTCTTGTATTGTTTATTCGGATAATCCAAGGCCCGCAACAGAGGCCAAACTACGAGTGTTAAGTCGGGGGTCACACTGCTCGTACGTCATACAAAAGCTAGTCTGCAATCCCGAGTCACCGCAAGGTCCGTGGTTCGAATGCCGCCTGCCACGTTTTCTCCTCGAACTCATTGCCCAAGCGGCATTCGAAGCACAGATCTCGCGGCGAATCGCGTTCGAATCTGTATGAAAACTGTCTTGTGTAGTTATTCACCGGACGCCATATTAGAGGGAGATGCTTAGAGGGCACGCTCAGAACGAGCTCACATTAACAGGCCGCGAAGACCGGCAATCTTGATGGTGCGCAATGCACGTTGCGAACGAACTCTCGCCGTAAGCACGTGCTCAGAAGTCGTGTACACAACTGTGTCCGCACTGAATACTCCCAGGCTTTACGTTCACTCGACAAGGAGACACGCAAGAGCATTTTTTTTTTTACGGCAAAGAAGAACTCACGCGTTGCGCGTGCACCGCCATCATCTAGTACTCGTCCACGTGCTCGACCTTATTTCTATCATTCACCTTACAGCCCATTTCC